TTCTGTAACTTCTTTGAAAGACTTGTCGTGCTACTTAAATCTCTCAGATATACCTTGTCTCCTTCTTCGAATTCTCTCAATTCAAATTTTATATATTTATATTCTCCTGTATTTTCCTATACACTATTTTCATTTTTCATCCATGTCCGCGTCCATGGGTTCCTATAATATTCTCCTGTGTTTTTCCATACACTTTTTTCATTTTTGCTCTCATGCTCGTGCCCCTGGCAGTCGTCGCATCTCTTCACATTTCACATATTTTCCAACATTTCTTCCTAATTCGCTCCAGAAATAATATTCTCTTATATTTCTGTACTATATTGAATGCTCATGCCCCAGGCAGTCGTCGCATCTCTTCACATTTCACATATTTCTCAATACTTCTTCATAATTCGTTCCAGAAATAATCTTCTCCTATATTTCTGTACTGTATATCCTATTTATTCTTCCATATCCTTCCTGTAACATGTGGAAGGTATTAATTATAACTCTTCTTTTACTTCATTTTCCATTTACTTCATGAACAAAATCATAAATCCAGATTCGTTTCGCATTTTTGTTACATCCTGTAGATACTGTATTGTCGTACTGGAGCCGCGGGACTCTTAGCGGGTTGGGATTCTAGTACCACCCTAGCTTATCCCCTTAGCAGCCTCCTACTTGACGTAAGTTTCACCCCTTAAGGTCGAACCATATACAGCTTGCCCACATTCCTGTAAAAAAATATACTTCTGTCACTGTATTCATCTTCGTATGCTGTGTGAGATATGCCTCTATTTCTGTGGCATCCCACCTGTGTCCGCTGATTATTCTTTCTTCTTTATGGTTCTGCTTCTTTGTCTCAAGCAAAGAAACTGGCTTAAACTCTTCTACATTCAGAGTACGTTCCATAAATACATAAATAAAGTTCCATAATGTTACTTTAACGATAGTAACTAACTATGAATTTTCCGTCTCCAGCGAGTCCTTGCCTTAGCAACGATCCAGTGCTTCAGTGAAGGCCCTTAGGTCTTCCTGTCCAATTTGCACTTTTCCCTGGTACATAAACTGTAGCAAGTTACTTTAAACGATAGTAACTATTATAACTTTTCCGTTTCCAGCGAGTCCTTGCCTTTGTAACACTTCGGCCGCTTCAGTGAAGGCCCTTAGGTCTTCCTGTCCAATTTGCACTTTTCCCTGGTACATAAACTGTAGCAAACCTCCTAGTGTCTCGCAAGTTACGTTTGTCAAAATCACTATAGGACGTTGACAAAGATTCGACTCACATTTTCTTTAAATATGGGCCACAGCCCAAAGAACCACTTTAAGTGCTTCTATGCATTTTCCTTGCGATGCAAGATTCACGTCTACTGAATCTTGACTGTTCCATAATGAATCCATTCCCGAACTCATATGTTCGTGGAAATCATTCCAAAATAGTGAAAAAGATTTTCTGACGACACATCCCATTTAAATTTTCTTTAAATATGGGCCAAAGCCCAAAGAACCACTTTACGTGCTTCTATGCATTTTCCTTGCGATGCATCCATTCCCGAACTTATATGTTCGTGGAAATCATTCCAAAATAGTGAAAAAGATTTTCTGACGCCACGGTCAATTATCTTCCAAAGCTCCATTAAACTCTTTTCCCTCTTTTATATGTCCATCTCAGTATGATGTGCCAATTTATGAAGTTAACCAACAATTGTATAAAGAATTAAATTTTTCTTAAAATAAATAACTTAGAAATATACGCTGCCGAACTTAAAAAAAAATCTGTAGGAAATATCAAATAATCAAATCAATAATAATCGATCAATCAATCAATAGTCAAATATCAAATAAGGTGTTAGTATTAATTTTTTTTTGAAAAATTAAACTCTATTAAATTCTTTTCCTTTTTACGAATTGAACGTTATTTATAAATCCAAATATCCCAATTTACTTTAGCAAAGTCATATCTAATTTTTCAGTGTATATTACTTGACCAAGCGCGTTTAATATTTTTCAAACACACGTCGAGCAAATAGTATCATATTTCACTTTCACTTGATACATTAAACAAAAGAATTTGATAATATTTATGTAAACCGTTAGTTAGTAAAACAATATTTATAGAATTTATATTTTGCGCTTTTTGAAAGCAATAAACTCGTACACTCAAATGAACTTGATCTTGACCTACTAACTTAAATTCTTTATATTCAACTAGTTAGTAAACAATATATTTATTATTTCTTCGAATAATTATATCCAATTCCTATAATCGACTGATAATTAATAATCTCTGTTATGCCATATTGTATCATATGTTCTGTTAGACAGTATAGTTTATATTTTTAGTGCAATATTATGGTAATTAAAAAAAACAATTATATAGAGAACATCATATAATGTGTTAGTATGTATTTTTGAAAAAATTTGTACTTGTCATCTCTTCACATATATCATAAAAGCAATTCACCTATCTTAATTTAGGATTCTAAGTCTCGGGAAGGAATTGATATGAGGTTATTTTCCAGTGATACAAGACAAAAAAAAAATCTACTATATACGAATAATTTGTGTAAAACCACTAACAAGTTTATATAACAAAGAGAGAAAAAGGATTTTCTTCCAGAAGAGGGAGTCCTGCACTCCACACAATATTTACTGGATACCTCACTGTTTCTTTAATCTGTTGTCGTCTTAGGAAAGAGAAGAAAAAAATGGAATGTCACTGGCGAAATGAAACGATGAAGGCTTCTTATAGCTACAAAACTTGCAAAAGTTTACAAGGATACTGAAGAAGTGACTTAATTATCCCTATTTACCGAAATTCCCCCAAACCGGGACCGCTGTCACCAATGTAAATAAACTGAGACAGATTTACGAGAAGTGGAGAGGGATTAAGGACTTCTATGTATAGGGTCCTGTAAAGACTGTCACCAAATGTAAAATACAATAGATCCTCAAGGGATGCTAACCCTGCGAGCGGCTGCAAGGAATACTGGTCACACTGGTCTGGAGGGCTGGCTCGTCTTCGTGGATTTACGAGAAGATAAGGGATTTCGGGATAGGGGTAAGAACTCCTCGGTCTCAGGTCCTGTAAAGAGTAGAGGTTATGGGCTTACTTTTGAAGCCGGAGATATGTATACGCAGAATTCTCGTGTTCTCCTAGTCTCTAGTGAGTCGGACGAAGGAACATTAAAAAAAAACCATATTAGAGTCAACAATATATTGAATCTACCCTGAAGTTCCTAATACAATCGTTAACACGTTATTCTGCGCGTCGGGAGACGATGTAGCAAGATAGTGAAAAGTTGACAGAGGTACAAATATAATTACACAGGTTAGTATAAGAAATCTGTTACCTTATGTGTATATTAGGGCTTCAACCACGACACGTTCAGTCTTCTGGAACTCGGTCAGTTGAGGGTTGCGAACTTTCGAGCTGCCACAATAACCGGACTACACGCGAATTCTGACAGAAGATACCCGGCCCCCGGAAAATCACCGACTGTCTCGCGTGCTGGACGCGTACGGGACGCTGTCGCGTCCCCGTCACGGTGGCCCGCTATTACTGACTGACTGACTACTGACTACCGACTACTAACTACCAACTGCCCGGCGTCCGTCGTTTCTTCTTGTTTTATCGTGGTCGTACTTTCAACGCCGGTTCTAGTACCAAGGTCGTAGGTTCGCTGAGTTGCAGTTTTGGCGTTATGTGCCTATTTGGGTCACGGCTGTTGTTGTTAATAGTTTCGTGCTTTTTATACGTTTAAACAATTATCAAACAATGCCATAACTAGGTCAATTGTTATACTTTGTATAATTTAAATGTATAAGTTAACTGTATTAATTATCCCTTATTTAATTTGGAATATATAATAATTATCTCGAATAATTATTATCTTTTCTATGCTACTTAACCATTTAATTCAACTTCTCACTCACTTGCTACGCTTACATTACAAAAGGTACGTATATGTTCGTAGGTATATGAAATAAAAAATCACTTACGCACTGCATATAATTCGCAAAAGAAATATTCGAGACGCCAATTACTGCCGTTTACGTGGAAACACCGACGAGCCGTAAATTACATGCGATCAAAAACATACTAAACAAAAAAATTGTTTTCGTTCATAATAACTTCACCTTTTCAAGTTAAGTTTCGAATATAAACTGAACAGACGAGGCACGTGGCCAAAGCCGGCATCTTTAAACTCATTATACTATTAAAAATCTGAAGAATTATATCCTAATTATCTTGCAGCAAATAGTACCTTTGAATATGAATTCCAGGTTTTCTAGTAAAGTGATTAAACGCGAAGATTAGTATTGAAATATCCAAAGAGATCATGTATGCTTATTTACAAAATTGTTAATGTTTAAATTCTTATTTTTAAAGCAACATTAGCCGTGAAAGTTTTAATTGTTTTTTGCTAAATATATTAGTATTAAAACAGTATTAATATTAATATTAGTTTTAATCAAGAAACACCTGAGGAACGCCTATGATGATACAAATTTTACGACCGTTTGATGACTCTGAGGCATATTTCGTGCTATCAACAATTTGTGAACGGATAATAGTACTATTTATTTTTCTTATTTTAACATGGATATACGTTTGCCATTTATCCCGTCATAAAAATGTCAACTTTTTTAAACATTTTAACTGAAGGCCGAAGTGCAGAATTAGAAATAATACTCTTTCTAATAGGCCAGTTTACCTTTTTTTTTAATAAATAGTTTGTGCTGTTCTTATTATTTAATTTAGTATTAGGTTATAAAAATTTTTTGACAGGGTTATTGTTTTTCAGGTATTGTATTCAGGTATTTTACAAACTGTACATAATTGGTGAAGGGTAATATAGGTTAAATTTTTCATAAATTTAAAATAATCCTTACAGTAATACATTATACTTTGGGAAGTAACCTTGATACTTTCCTGGCGTCCAGTTCGTTCTTAATTTCAGTGCTCTTTTCTGGCGCAATTATCCTTAATGATATCAGTTTGTCATATTCATTTTCAGATAACTGTCTTTCAGAGGCATGTAAATTGGATAAGTGCTTCCTGAGTTTCAATGGTCATCCTCTGGCAAAACCTGCTAGCCAAGCTGCATTAGTCTCACAATATTGTGTTGTGAGCACATCTCTTCCATTTTTGTTATTTTGGTCACTACATCCGCTAACCTCCTATATATACAATAGCACTAAAGGCCTTAAAGGCCCATGGCTTAAAAAATTTTGTTCTTTCTTCATTTTCGCTTTCCTTTATGTACTGAGATCTTCTCTGGCTCGATATGTGACTTTTCTCCATTCCTTCTTGTTAGTCATTTTTATTTTCTGGCCATCTAGTCCAATTTCTTTCATATCTTTTTCTACCTCCTGATTCCATCTATTTTTTGGCCTTCTTTTTCTCTTTTTTGAAGTTATAGTGTAGTTCCGACAACCTCCTATTCCTGTTAAATTGGTTCTGACCACAGAAGCCCACCTATACAATTTTTGTTACACATTGTCTAATGTTACGCAGTTAGGATAGTTGTTTTCTTCCGACCCAGCGTTTTCCTTTGATTTTACCCTGAATGATTAACCAAAGTAAGAGATACTTAGGTCCTCTCGTTATATGACCGAAGTATTGGACCTTTTTTCAGCTATCTTTCATAAATCTGAGAGATTATTTGAGTTATTTTATTATAAGATATGCCGTTCATATTACAACTTCGGGTTGCAGTATAAAACACTTTGGTTGGACTTCATCGAGTTCTTACTTATCAAATCAAACCTTGAGGATGTTAATTCTACTTTGTTTCGGTTACTAATCGAATACTTTAATTGAATGTTACTAAAATCGAATGCACTAATAATACGAATAGAGAATATTCTTTGCATATTATGGAATAAATGGTTTATTTTTTAAGATTTAAAAGTTTTTTGTTGTTTGTCCTTAAAAAGCTTAAATTTTTGTTAAAAATATGCTAAATTTTACTTATTGGTTACTAATAGTTTATTTGTATAATAGCAGAGACTACAATAAGCCAAGTAATTCATCAGCCTTATATGATTATACATACATTAAAAATGACTAAGGAAATGTCTATTATTACACTTCTTTCAACAAAAACCTAAACACTTGTTTCCTAATACATACCATTTGATTTGAAAACTTATTCTCTACAAATCAAGTTAAGCCATGATAATCACTCTATCAATTCTATCCCAAAGTGACAGCGACTTAAATTTATATGATTAAATATTTCAGTTTGTATAGAAGTGCTTTAAGTTTTAAATTTATTTATTTATTTATCGTATGGCAATTACAACACATTTAGAACAAAATTACAAACACTAGTAATATAGGTATATGACAAACTTTAAATAATTACAAACAAACATCAAGTGTATTAACATAATCAATTGACTCTGAAGTTGCAAACAGGAAGTCTTCAGGGCTACCGTTATAAGATCTTGAGGGACACTCTTCAATAATGTGGTCGATCGTTTGGTCCTTCCCACAGTCACATTGAGGAGACGGATTCTTTCCCCATTTATGTAGCATGTATGCACATCTGCCATGTCTGGTTCGGATCCTGTTTAGAGTGGACCATGTTTTACGTGGAAGATCAAAACCTGGTGGCTTGTGGGTAATACAGGGCATGTTATTTTGCCATGCATTCCATTCTTGGGACCATGCATTCGTGATGTTGAACTCCTCATGTATCATTCTTGCCGTTTTCATTGGTGGTTTTCTAGAACGTAGGCGGGTATTTCGTGCATCCTCGGTATCTTGGTGGATCGGCAGGTTTATATTGTTCATGATCTTTTTGTATTCACGTGTAAGTGCGTCAACTCGTCGTAAATGTGGAGGTGGTATGTGACTTAATACTGGAAGCCATTTGGTGGGAGTTGATTTAATTGTACCAGATATCATCCTCATAGTGCTGTGCAGCTGAGTGTCGACCTTTTTTACGTGTGGACTGTGTAGCCAAACTGGGGCACAATATTCAGCGGTCGAGAAAACAAGGGCTAAAGCAGTAGAGCGGAGAGTGGAAGCCGATGCTCCCCAGGTGGTACCGCAGAGCTTCTGTATAATGTTATTTCTGGTACTCAACTTTTGGGCAGTTTTTGTTAAATGCTCTTTAAATGATAGCGTTCTGTCTAGTGTTACGCCCAGGTACTTCGGTGTTTTGTTGTGGGAAAGTGTGGTGTTTTCAAACCGTATGTTAAGTTCCTTTCCAGCAAGTTTATTGTTCAGGTGAAAGCAACTTACTTCTGTTTTGGATGCATTTGGTTGAAGCCGCCACTTGCGAAAATATTTGCTCAATATATATAAGTCTGCCGTCAGAACTTCTTCAGATGTTTCTAGCGTTCGGCATTGTGTAGTGAGGGCCCAGTCATCGGCGTATCCGAACTTTCTTGATTGTGTTTCTGGCATATCTGCTAAATATAAGCTAAATAGTAATGGAGAGAGCACTGACCCCTGTGGTAGGCCATTTTTAAGTTTCTTTGGTGGGCTGATATCTGTGCCCATCACTACTTGAAACATTCGGTCGTTGAGCATGCTATCTATTAAACGTGCTATTTGTTTACAGGGAATTGCACGGAGAATTTTGTATATAAGGCCATCTCTCCATACTGTATCGTAAGCTGCCGAGAGATCAATAAATGCCGCTGAAGTTTTAAGTCTTCTTTGAAAACCCGCTTCGATGTAGGTGGTCAGTGACATGACCTGGGTGCGCAGCTTCGTTCTGGTCGAAAACCCGCTTGTTCGACTGGGATCACCTGGAACAGTTCTGTACTGATTCTATTATATATAAGCCTCTCTAATAGTTTGCAGATGGCAGAGAGAAGCGCAATTGGTCTGTAGTTTTTTGGGTTGTCAGCGGGTTTGCCTGGCTTTGGTATGGCTATTATCTTAGAGCGCTTTAGTTCTTGTGGGATATTTCCAGTTTCCATGATGTCTGTGAAAAATCGAGCCAACCAAACTTTTGTATACTTCCGTTTCTGTGGCTACATGTTTTAAAGTTTTAAGTTCTCTCTTTACGTAGATAGTGTGTGCTTTATCCTTTGGTGCTCTGGATGTTTTTACTATATGTGATGCTATGGAATCTGGCTTTACGGCTGCCTCTTGACGTTTCGTACGGACACCACTCCCTAATTTTCTTAGTAATGACCATGCCTGTCTGCTTGATTTCTGGAAGTTTAGACTTTCTACTGTTTCGGTCCACTTTTGTCTTCTAGCGGCGTCTAGGCTGTACAGTAGTTCATCCGCTATTTCTTGGTCGCCAGTTTCAAGAAAGCTCTGATATAGTTCCTCGCTATTTTCCGACCAGCCAGGAACATATTCTTTGCGATATCCTCTTGGTATGTGTTTTTTGGCTACACTTAGCACGGCACCAACAAATCTGTGGTAGTTTTTGATATTCGGTGTAATCCACCCTAGACATTTATCTAGATCCACAGAGAAGTCAATCCAGTTGGCCTTTTTAAAATTCCATCTTGGACGTGGGATAGAACTAATTAAAGGGATTTGCGTCCCTACTTCTATTATTACTGGTCGATGTTGGCTGTGTGGGAAATCAGTTAGAACTCTTCGTGAAGCTCCTAAAGGTAAGTCTTTGTTGTCGGTCGAGACGAAGCATAGGTCGGGTTGTATTCCCTCCTCCATGCCGAAGATCTGAAGGTTGGTCGATCTTTGGCATCAAACAAAAGGTATAGGCGTTCGTCTTCTGCCCATTTTATTAAAGCATTCCCATTTGCATCACTATTTTTGTACTTCCACTGTTCATGATGGCTATTGTAATCTCCAACATATACAGCAGGGTGAGGCTGTACTGGAATTGCTTGGACTGGCCAATAAGTAGCAGGTGGCTTGTAAATGTTGGACACGGTAATGCTAGCGATTTTTGTGACCACATTATAAATACAGTTATCAGTGGAAGTAGAGATTAGCGAAGCATTTTCAATATCTTCTTTGACATATGTAGCTGTGCCATATGTTCGGTGGTAAGTTGCGCCTAATAGTTCATATCCCGGAATTTTGCCCCTTTTTTGTAGTTGCTCCTCTGTTTCGCAGTGGGTTTCCTGTATAGCAACTAAGTCAATGTTGTCATCTTTTAATAGTTTTGATAAAAACTGGCTTTTAGCATAGCTTATGCCTTCTATGTTTATGTGGCAAATTCGAACTATAGGTCCGATTGGTCTAGTTGTGTGGTCCTCACAAGGGCCGTTTATTTTGTTTATCATCTTTCGTTGTAAGTGTTGTTTGGTCAGGAGATCCTAAGGATTGTCTGACTGCCAGTATGTGCTAGTTCATTTAGCATTACCCAGGGTGCACGTGTAGTATTCTACTACGGACGCGAACTAGCTCTACACCCATTAAGTTTTAAAGATAGTCTGTGTTTAATTTAAAATTTAACCGAAACAAGAATATTGAACGCAACGATAGTCATGTAGCGTCGGCATTTCAAGTATGTCAAATGGTAAGTTCTGTGTATATGATTAAGGCTGGACTTTCACACACTGGTGTTGCACATTAATTTGACATGTTTTGGAGCATGATTTCATGATTATGGCGTTAATATGAACAATTTGGTAATTTTGCTGAAAGACATAGAGGTCGGCAACGTGCAACTCCTCGACAGGATCGATATCAGCAGGTAGGATTAGCTTGTCCAAATATGAATATCACTACTACACATTGAGTCTGTGGGTCTTATAAAATACCTACAACATAACTTCATGTGGCTAAACTTTAAGGAATAGATTACATGAAGCTTGGCTACCCACCACACGTCCATTGTGGATTCCCATCTCCTGGATACGTCATTGAAATAGAACTAGAAGGTTAAGATAGGCACAACAAAATGTGCATTGGAGCTAACAAGAATGGAGCTCTGTGGCATTCACAGATAAAGCTAAGTTTTCTATCTACCCTAAATCAAAAAGAGTAAGAGTTTGGAAAGAACCTAGTTGACAAGAGAGACTCAGGGATGTACAGAGTGTTCCTCCATATAGTGGTCTATAAGTTATGATATGGGCTGGAATAATTTTTCATCATTAAACTGTTCCCGTTTTTGTGGAATGCATTTAAAATCCATATCTTGAAACCTACTGTGCTTCCAAATTAATTAATTAATTAATGTGCTTCCATTAAAACCCCTTCA